TTTTCATAAAAAAAAGAGAATATTTTATTAGAAGGAATTTAAATTTTTTGGGTTTAAAATTTAATTTCTTTATAAGAAACTATTAAAAACATAATTTGTTATTATATATAGGGATATTAGAAATTAAAGTATTTTAATCAAATGTTTTTTGAATGAATCCACTTAAAATTTATATTATATATTAAAATTAATTTTAATAGAATTCAGATAATTGAAATACGTGTTTGTGAATGAATGTAAATTATATATAAAATGTAAATAAATGATTTAGTAAACAAGTTTGAAGTTAAAATGTTAAGAAGATAACCATAAGGAAGAGATTGATTTTATTTGTTATCATGAGTTTTGTACAGGATTTCGCTTAAATTGTTTTGATTGTTTTAAAAAGGGAATCCATCATAATCATTCTGATGATGTAAAAAAAGTCAGCAGTTTGATTTCATTTATTGAAAGTAAAAATAAAGAGTGTGACAATTTGATTGATGATCTTAATAAATACTTTGAAAGCCTGAATCAATCATTCTCTTAATTAATTAAAGGAATCAGAAATAAATATTCATTTGTATAAGAAAGATTAATGAAAATGAATTCTTACTAAATTAATGATTATTTGAATTCATCTATCAAGTTAACAGAATATAAATAATCTATTTCAAAAATAATTTAAGAATAGATTAAGAAATTAAATCATTCATTTAATAATTTATATGAATAACTCTAATTATCATCATTAAATTATCATTAAAGTGATGACAATAATATTAAACTCGCTGAAGATCTATGCAAATAAGGTAATTTAATAATACATTCTTTTAGGTTAACAATTATATTATTAAGGAAAGGATAATGAGGCTTTAGAAAAAATAGAAAAGTCAATTTTATTGAATCCAAATAATGAGGATTCTTTATGTTATAAAGGTGTAATTAATGTTAATAGTAATAGGTGCATGCTTAAGGATGCTAGGTAAATGTGAGGATGCAATGATTTGGTTGGAAAAAGCATTAGCTATTAATCCAAAGCACTTTGATTCTTTAAGGAATAAAGGTCGATTTCTTTATCGTTATATTAATAGGTGCTTGTTTAAGAATGTTAGATAAATACTAGGATGCAATCACTTGGTTTGACAAAGCATTAACTATTGATCCGAAACATGTATTTTCCTTAAGTGAGAAAGGTAGATATCTTCATCGTTATATTAATAGGTGCTTGTTTAAAAATGTTAAGAAAATACTAGGATGCAATCACTTGGATCAACAAAGCATTAGCTATTGATCCAAATCATGTTAATTCCTTATGTGAGAAAGGTAGATTTCTTCATCGTTATATTAATAGGTGCTTGTTTAAAACTGTTAGATAAATACTAGGATGCAATCACTTGGATCAACAAAGCATTAGCTATTGATCCAAATCATGTTGATTCGTTAAGTGAGAAAGGTAGATTTCTTCATCGTTATATTAATAGGTGCTTGTTTAAAAATGTTAGATAAATACTAGGATGCAATCACTTGGATCGACAAAGCATTAGCTATTGATCCAAATCATGTTAATTCCTTATGTGAGAAAGGTAGATTTCTTCATCGTTATATTAATAGGTGCTTGTTTAAAACTGTTAGATAAATACTAGGATGCAATCACTTGGATCAACAAAGCATTAGCTATTGATCCAAATCATGTTAATTCCTTAAGTGAGAAAGGTAGATTCCTTCATCGTTATATTAATAGGTGCTTGTTTAAGATTGATGAAATAATATGATAAATCTGAATAACTTCTCCATTAAGCACTGTCGCACGATCCTAATAACACATTTAATCTTGGTTAGCTTGGTATATGTGAGTAATATTTAGGTCTCTGTTTATATGTCATCTTAA